CACTATTTTATATGTTGCGGCTGGGTGACACATGTAAGTACAGTGGTTGATTTTAAGAGTTAGCTGTCAGTAACATTAAGTATCATAAAGTATATATGTAGTGTTTATCATGCAGCAGGTTTTTTTTGTTATCTATAGTACCATAACAATTTTATAAGTGCTTTTCCTGGATAAATTTGTATTGTGTGTTTTCGTAATATCTATTCCTCAAACTGGGATAAGGTTGGGTGCTCACAAAACTACCAGTAATTTGATTTCATTTAGTTTTTACCCCTGTATGAATGTAGGTCAAACTTTCCTACTATTCTCACTTGACCCCAGGCTATATTAAAGATTCAACAACCAACTCTGATGTAACACTACATAAAAATAAACTGATTTCACTCAACCATGAAATATGTGTCATTGGACCACTGTGGTAAGGGGTAAGAGCATGCATAGATGGTTGTAGGTCAATAGTTTCTTAAAACAATTTATAGATGCAATCATGAAAATGAACTCAAATGTTTACCATTAATTTGAAGTAAAAAAAAAGTTTTAGGCAGTGCCCAACCTTTGAAACAAACACTTGATGATGAGCCAACATTTTGGTCAGGTATTATTTATGAAAAAGATTGAAAAATCTTATAGGTACCACATATTTTAGTTTACAGTTAACATTTAAAAGATTATTGACTACTTTAGTCATAAAATAGAATTCCTTTAAAATATATCTACTTTAGTCATAAAATAGAAGTCCTGTAAAATATATCTGCTTTATTCATAAAATAAAAAGCCTGTAAAATATATCTAAATCTGACATGCTTTACAAAACAGTACTATCTTGAGTTCGATCACATTTGATAGACTAGCAGTAATAACAAAATCTTCAAAATTACTTTCAAATAATCAAACTATCCATTATCGCCATCTAGCTGTAACATTACAGTTCTACAACATACATTTCTGATTTCAGCAAGTCTGTGTGATTCCTATTTCAAATCTAATAATGTAGCGAAATTTCATTCTATCTCTTCAGAACAGTGATTTACAACCAATTTAATTGCAGCAAACATGCTAAAATCACTAATGCAAGAAATTGAGAAAAAAAATATCAAAGCTTTTTATTAATTACATGCTTTCATTTTACATGATACCTGGAAGACAAACAGTATATTATTATCCATAAAAATACTGCATGTCAGCCATTTATTGGGAAAGATAGTGGTCAATTTCACATAAAAATGATCAAAATGTCATTTGCAAATAAGTTTAGATTTCTGTTAATTTAATTGACAAATTGATTATTCCAGGGAGAACAACTGTGGTAGGAGTTGATTAAATTACTATTTTAGAGTCCATATGTCTCAAATCAATAAGTTATGTGACTGTTTTTTTATCCTTTTATGATGGGTAGCACTCAATATAGTGTGTAATAAATCATACATATTCTATCATTGATGGTTGTACAATAAAACCTATTTCTGTTTTCTGTCACTTCTCTCTTTCATTATTATAGTGGTATAATCAGGACTGATCTGAAGAGGGGAAGTAGTATCACTGTTTTAGGGTGGAAAATAAGTTGTAGGAAGAAAAGGGGATCTGGTATAAAATAAAATCTCCGTATTGTCTCTTTCTCTCATTTTGTTATGAGGGGAAGATAATTTAATATTGTAAATAAACTGCTTCGCTAAGCGCAGCTAGATACGCCCGCAGAGGTCCAACCCTGAACAGTTGGGGCAAAAATGGACACAATATTCAAGCTTGATTCAGGTCTGAATTTGGATTGTAATTAAATATTTGACATATTATAGGTTTCTGAATAAATGTAGTCAAAGAACTTGAAATTGGTTATATGAATTGAATTTATATTCAATTAAAGATTTCTTCTTGTTGTGCAATACTTAGTAAATCTGTTGTCAGACTATAAACAAATAAAGTTCAATTAATTCTCAATGTCATTTTAGAAATTTATGAAAATAAAAAGGGAGCTTACATCAATAAATATAAACAAAGTTTCATGAGAATTGGTGACAGAATTTTGGAGTTATTGTCCGAAAACTGGAAAATCACCCCTTTTTTTAATGAATAAAACCCCATAACTCAGAAATGTAAAATGTAAAATTTATAAAATTCTAAAGGGAGCTTACATCAATACATACAAACAATTCACCCAAGTTTCATAAGAATTGCTGAAAGCATTTTTGAGTTTTTGTCTGAAAACTGGAAAATCCCCCCTTTTTTTATGAATAAAACCCTGTAACTCGGAAACGTAAAATCTAAAATTTACAAAATTCGAAAGGGAACTCATGTCAATAGATATAAACAATTCACCACAATTTCTTGCAAGTTGGTGAAAGCATTCTTGACTTATTGGTCGAAAACTGGAAAATCCCCCTTTTTTTAATGAATAAAACCCCATAACTCGGAAACGTAAAATCTAAAATTTATAAAAAACGAAAGGGAGCTCACGTCAATAGATATAAACAATTCACCAAATTTTTATGCAAATTGGTTAAAGCATTTTTGAGTTAATGTCCGACATGTTGACGACGGACAGACGGACGGACAGACGGACGGACGGACAGAGGTATACCATAATACGTCCCGTAAACGGGCGTATAAAAACAATTGAGCTGAACTGTGAGGACTACTGTCTAGGACTCTTTATCATCAAGATTTTAACATATAGGCTCCTTACCAACTATTTGGTATTTTGGTATTTATTTTTGATGTGTTGTGGTAATATTCCAATTACTTTTTCCTTATAGATATATCCTTTTAATTCTATTGTATCAAATGGAAATGTCAACATCTGAGGAACTTAGGAAATCGACAAGGGCTTATTATAACAAGAAACATAAACACGCCTGCATGTATAGTACAAAATCTAACATTTGATGAGATCAAGAATGATCTTCAATAAATTATTGTCAAATTCTTAAAGATTTTGAATTAAAAAAAAAAAAGATCTTTTTTTCTGAATTTCGAAAGTGAAAAGGGCATTATTAAAGACCCATTTTTTCATAATTCCCATAAAAGAATTTAAAACTAAAATGTATGGACAACAATAGTTTCAACTGTGTCCTCATTCCCATCACTTTTAATATTTCTGATTTAATCAACCATTTATGTTTAATCAATATACCTCTAACAATTGATTTTATTCTCATTATTCTGCATGTATCATCATTATTCAATTAAAATCATCAAAATTGTTGATTTAAAGTTTTTCAATAATCAAATTCATGATTCATGACCTGCGATTGAAAGGATATGCCATTTAGTGCTCTTTAACCAGCAATTTTCCTCAATTTTTAGTAAACAAATATTTTTGATCCGTTTTTCTTTATAGCTTTAGACAGATTTTCAGACAGTTTACATACTGTACTATGATAAACAACATCAATTGGCATCTTTCTTAAAAAAAATGAAATTCTATGAAACTTAAACACAGAATGTTAGAAAATGCCTAGAATGAATATCTTGCAGAGGAGATAAAATGAACCAAAGGTTTTCAATGGATCTTATTAATACATCCTTGATTAATTTCTCATTTGGCATCTCTCTATATATTTTTGTATTAGTTTTTCATCAATGCAATCAACATTCCTAATTAGAATTCTCATTAATAAACATCCTTTATCTGCGTAATCACAGCTCTACTTGGCTCAATATACTGTACACTTGAAATTGAAAATTTCACTATGAATTGCCAAAACTTAGGGCATACAGACTCTCTTATTCAGCTTTTACAAAAACAAATTTGCACATATTGTCGTGCATATAGTACCCCTCCCTTTATAAGACAATGACTCAAGAAAACTTCCATGTTGTCAACTTTAACACTATACCACTTGACATGATAAAGTTTCAGACCAAATATCAAATCAATTCTTTAACAGAATCTGAGTTAAATGTAAAAATTGAATGCTCAGTGGGTATGATAAATATTGAAAGTACGGATATATGTTTTTTTTTATATATATATGTATCTTCGACCAAAAAGAAACTGCCAGTTAAATCTGAAAATGACTTACATGGTAAAAACTCATCATTATGATGTTCAAGACCTCTGTCAAACCATTCAATAATACACACCCTGAGTAATATGTAACATAAGTTTAGGACTAATTTCTCCCCTAGGTATCTTCCACTTCCCACAGTGCAACAAGGTCAATGCAGTTTAACAACCTCACACTCAATCAGTCGGGGATTAATCAAATAGTTTTACAAGTCAGAACAAACAATATTGCATTACAAAATGCATAATTTAGTTCTATATGTTTATGATTATTATCAAAAATCCATTACTATACATTTTTAATCCTACCAATGGACTTTTGTAATATATACATTCTAGAAGTAGTTTTAAAATAGGATTTCCTGAAGCCTATATTACTGTTTCTTTTTTTTTTATCATTCTGATTTATAAACAACACCCACATGTGCATACATTGTATTTTAACCAAAGAACCAGAATCCTGATAAAATGTACAAAACCTGACTACTGAAGCCTAAAAATGTAGCAAGTTTCATCATAAATATCCTCAATACATTGTGTAACAAAGTGAAAGTAGGAATGAAATATTTTTAATTGTTCATACTGTCATTATTATTAGAAAAGTAATACCGAAGACTCCTCTTTTCTCACAAGACATTGACCCTGTGGCTCAATTATTTCATGGGTTTTAAGGTAATGTTTAAAAAGTCCACATCATAATGAACAGTGTGTACTAAGTTACAAGTTAAAGTGTCCACAACTTCATGGAAAACTACTCTAAACAAAACTTGAACATGTTTAGTGAACTGTGAAATCTAGGTCGAAACCTTAACTTGGCTTATACTTTTATGAAGATGTGACCACAACTTATGGTCAACTACCTTAAACCAAACTTTAACCTGATATAAGATGAATTGATGGACTAAAGGACTAATGGACAGACTGGAAAACAAAATGCTACCGGTACCTTCTTTCATAAAAAAAATGGGGCATAAAAATGGTAATAAGTATGGCTCACCATCAGGAAACAAGTTAGTATAGAATGGAAGTTTGGCAGAATGTTTTCTCCACAATCGTAAAACGTAGTCTTCCCATCGTACCATTTTACACAGAATCATCATAATGGGAATAGTTGGTAATGTGATCAGAAGAAAAAGTGGATCGGCCACCTGCATAACATGTACCCCTTCTTCACTACCTAGCACCTGAAAATAATAAGTACATTCTGAATCAGTCTAAAGTAACACTAGCAAAATATTGAGAAAAAAAAATTATTATAAATCAGTCTTCACTTCATGAGGCCTTTACAAGTAAAGCATGCACCAGTCTCTACATTGTATCTGTCATGTAACTGCAGATATTTAGTATATTATACATCATATTTTATCAAACTTAAAAAAATTGAAAATTACTGTTTTTCTTTAAACTATAACATATAGTCTAGTTTATCAATGTTATGTAGAGAAAAGCTGTTTAACTAGTTTTATATAATACAATTTACAGTTAAAATTTAAATTATTCATGGTACCATCCTAACTGACAGTTTCATTCATTCATTATAATTAGCTAAATCTTACAAAAGATCACACTTAACCTCATTTTTGCTATTTAACATTAAAAATGCATGGAATATAGAGTTTTAGATTAGTAAAAAAAATATTCATTTGTAACAAAAAAAATAATCACAGGGGATTTCTACTTATTAGTAAATCCCTATTCTAAAAGTATAACATTCATTTTTCAAAAAATAAAAGCAAACTTAAATTTATTTGATTTTTATACACATATATGCATTTTTTGTATTTGCTTTAAAAATCCAATTTGTTCGGTACAAAGCTATTTAAACATGGTTTTATTTGGTAAGCTTCCACTTTTAAGAAATAATCAGCTGATAATTTGTACATGTTTTATTGAACAATATGTTGTTATTGATTAATGTCACACCTGAAATCAATTTCATCACTGCAGAACAATCAACTTGATTAATGTTAGGTAAGGTTATCTCACTGGATCTGATGGATGGCCCTGAACCATGTATAAAATCTATATGCAAATGAGTATTGATTACATATGTAAATGCAGGTTCTATATGGTAAATAAAACAAGAGTCCCACAGATGTCTCTTAACACACAACATCTGGTACCAAATCAATACTGTAATTGCTCTAGGATTTTCTGTATATCTGTCCAATCAAATTATATATATTGGAGTGAAACATGAAAGCTAGTTATGTTAATGTTTGCATACATTAAATATCCTATATGCCTTTTCCTCTCTCAGTGCTTCAATAAATCTGAACTTTTTTGTAGTTTTTTTCATATGATAATAGCAGTAAATCTCTGATATCAAATAAGCGAAGGCTCAATGAACTGTTAAATAATTCAATAAATTTTTGTTTTACAATTGTTTAAAAATGTGCATCTTACTGGTTTTTGGTCTCTCAAGCATTTCATTTTCATTGTACTTATTAAAATAAATTCAAAAATTCATAACTAGAATGGTAAACAATTTTCACATCAAAAAGTCATCTCTTATTCAACCATTCTTTTTCATGCTCCAATAGTTGAATATCTATTTAAACAAAATTTGAGCCTAACTAAGAATTTAATAGTTTGAAATTTTTGTGATCCCACTTTTCAGAATGATTTTTCTCAAATATCAAGAAAAAGGTTAAAGATTTATGCATGTTCATTCCACTTAAATTATAACTGTTCAGGTTAATCTTGACTACTGCAATAATTGTAAATATTTAAACTTAATTATCTCCTTATGCACAAGATCAATTTAAGTTAAATTGGTTACCCTTACTTGTAATTTTTCAGTTGTATATTAAACTAGAATACTCAATTTTGTAGAAGGTATTTACTCTTGGCCCTTCCAAACACAATATGTGGAATGGAGAGTTTCAAAGGATCATGGATATCCCTCAACTATTTCAAGTTTCAGTTTTGGTCTAATAATATTAGAAAGTTATTAATTTCAAGTTCAATCATTAACAACAATTTTGCAATTGTAAACTATTGATCCCCACAGAATTCAAAAAAAATGTTTATAGAAAAAAATAATTTATAGTTGGGACAAAAAAAAAAAAGTTGGTTGCCAGAATGTGCCATCCTACTCCCCCTGGTTTTATGGTGTGGTGCTTGGTCTATAGTTGTAGTATTACTTTTAGATGTTCTATTTTGTTTAAACTGGTTTGCTATCTTGTTAATGGTTTTAGGTCTTTCAACATTTCATGTTTCTTTTACTTTATAAAATATATTAGTTTAAACTTTCACAACTGAATTGGTAAATAAATGAACCTTATAAAAAATAATGGTTTGAGAAAAATTTAAGAGTTTATTTTTTTTGTGATCCAGAGTGATTTTCTTCAAATATCAGGAGAAAGATTAAATGAAGAATGATTGATGCATATAGTCCATTCCATTTAAATCATAATTCTTCAAACAACAGTTAATTACAAATATACACTTAATGAAATTTTTGCACCAACTAAAAAGATATTTTTGGTACATTTTAAAGTTGTACAGCAACATTCAAGATTTTATGTTATAGCCTTTTCAATCAGAAACTTAATGTTAAAACTTTCATTAAAAGGATTATTTGTGTTCGGAACTTCTCTTACAATTATCTACACAGTATAACATTTAAAAGTAGGAGCTCAGATTCAAATTTGTCAAATCATTTAAATGTACATATTATACATGTTTGTGCAAAATCTGAGCTATTATATCATTTGCAAAGCTTGCATTACTGCAAGTCTTAACTTTAAAGGAACAAATCAAATAACTATCATTTTGGCTCAACTTTTTCCATACTTTTAAAGGTTAACTTCTGGCTTGTGTTTCACAAAAAATCTAATGATGCAAGTTACTATAAAGACAATTAAAATTACACAGAATTGTTCATGACTTACAATAAATTTTAGTTGTAAGATTTTTTGTGAAACACAGGCCAGACAGATAGTGATTAAAGTGCTTAGTACTGCAGTTTTACATGGACATAAGTTACGATTTTGGCAAAAAATTAAAATACGATTTTTGTTTTAGTTTTGTTTCAATAATATATAAAAGCAGAATTTTTAAATAGTATTTTTGTTTAAGTTTTATCAAAATAAGCTGAAAACATTGTTGATGTATTATTGTCTTGCAAGTCAACAATTCAACCTCATTTGAATAAATGCAACATTCAGTTTGACCCTTAGCTCAAGATGGGTTACCCATGTGCTAAACATGTTCCGTTATTAAAAAGAAAAGAATGTCAAGATTGAAAATTGAAACAAGGGAGACATAGAGAAGAACCATTTTGTTTACTGGTTCAACCTACAAAATACTATTCTTATACAGGTAAAACAATGATTTACATATTTTTTTAATCTATATCATGAAATCAAACAGATCTAGAAAAATTGTCATTATACAAAAGCACATGGTTTTTAGTGTATCTATATTTTTGTATTTAATAAATCAGGCCATAGATCCATCACCATTCTTCATAGGTCATCTAGATGGTTAATTAGAATGGTGTCTAGTTAAAATGCACATGAAATGCTGATGCATTATAACGAGTCAATGCATTGTAATTGTTTCTTTTGGATTTTTTTCGTAATTTGATTGTATGTTTTTAGTACGTTATAAATCAAATTTGAGATTTTTAGTCATATCAATGAATATGAATTTGAAGAGGTTATGCCTCTTTAGGCACAGAATGTGTAAAAAAATTGTTAAGGGTTCTGCAGAATCCTCTGTCTTATCTACAGTGTAAAACTGATTGCAGAAAAAGTCCATTTATCAGGAAAATATATGAAAAAAACATTTTCAAAATTTTGCTGTAGATCTACTGTCTTTTGATCATACATATATGTAAAAAGCTTTTGTCAAATTTTCATAAAATTCCATGAAGATTTGAAAAAGTTATTGATTTCTCCAAAACATTAACCAAAATCTGAATCTATATGTTGACAACGGGAATGCCGACGGAGGAAATGAGAGTCTAAATTCCCCGGCAAAATGCTGCGGGCTCAACAAAAGTCAAATTAATCATGTTAGATGGAATTTTTTCTACCCCATTTTCACAAAATTTTCATATCTTTGCATAACTGACAATTTCTTAAAGCAATTCAGTGTGGTAAGAGTAAATGCTTCTATACACATGTAACATACTAACTGAAAGCAACAACACAGGGAAAGAATTGATAACTGACCAGATGGTCCATCGGTTTAACTGCCCATGCACGAGTGTATTCAGTGTTCTACTGTATCATTTTTTTTCCATTTTAACCTTTAAGTTCATTCAAGAACTTTTCAAAAATATGAAATACAGCAATAAAAAAAATCAAATGCTTTATACTAGTTTTTTTTAAAACTCTCCTGTACTGTTTAGCAGGCACGGCTATCAATTGCTCTTTATATTCAGTCATGAAAAATGCCATGAAAATTTGTATTCTATGTTGATTAGCTATAACCTGGTCTCTGGTAGTTCAGACGGTTATCATGCAATCAGTGATACCTTTTTTCTTCTCTTTTAAAACTTGTGGAAAATTTGCTAATCAAAGGAGATACATTGATCATGTTGATACAACCAATTAGTAGCTACTATCAGCATTAATTGTTCTGGAAAAACTACTCCTTCATAGCTTTGAGAGTATCAACATCAGATGATTCAAGAGGTTCTGTGAGTGAGGTCACAAAATGATACATTCTCAACTCTGTATCAAATTACCAATTCCCTCCTTTTCAAAATGTCAGACTGGAATAGTTCTGGAATTAACCCTCCTCTTTAGATCTTACACTATAACCAAGAGTCTAAAATAACTGGTAGGTATCATAATATAAAATTTGACTGCTGCTGGTTACTACTTCGACTGTTGATTGCTTAACACCCAGTAGCAATAATTTCATGTATATAAAGAGGACAAGAAACTATTACAAATTAAACAATAGCCAGAAATGAGTTTCAGAAAAAAATCTTTACAACTAAAACTGATCGTAAGTCTTACACAATTCAGTATTCTTACAATCAATTTTAGTCGTAATATTTTTTGTAAAACTCATTCCAGGTTCTGCAAGGCCAGATGTCAAGGATGAAGGGCAGAAAGTCTTGACTGCCACTAGAAAACAATGGCATGTTGGATAGAAACTTTGACTTGCAACAGGCAACCTTCAGATCCTCACCACACTGAAAACTTCAATCACAGCATCAAAGTTACAACACCTGTTGAGAAACTTCAACATATCAGTTAACTTAACTTCTCCATAAGATCCTTTGGAACAGATCTTAGAAATTTTTAAAAAATCTCATCTCTTTGTGGCCACTTGAGACTACATTTGACCTTTCATCAGGATCAAAATAACAACACAAAGTACTAGTAGGAACCTTTAAAACAATTAATCTTTCTTGCTTGATTCTCTTAAAAAAGTTTTTTCGAAGTCTAGAAAATCACTATCCAGATAAGGCCAAGGAAGCCATTTTTTTACGAAATGGCACCAATGTCATAAAACTTGTAAGGAACAATTCTGCAGTGTTGATTTCATTAATCTGTTCAGTGGTTCTCAATAAGATCAAAATGGAATCCAGTATACAAGTATATGACTTGAAACTTACCAGAGTTTCATCAAGTGACCATAATTTCTTTTCCAGAATTCCCATGTCAATCAAGGTCGAGCGAATTATCCATAAATAAGGATTTTACAAAAATTTGTTATGGTACATGTACACTGCACTCTTGAATGTTGTATTAAAAATAGGAGGAATAATTGGGAACCTGTTTCAAATATTTAATACCTTTTAATAGAACTTGACAACATACCTGCATGACAGTTATGGCACCATAAGTAACAGCTGTCCACCATAAAGATCCAACAATAACACTACCAGCAAGGAATGGGCAAATCATGTTGGCTATCTTATCACATTTCTCTAATATATATACAACAGGGCCTGTAATGTAAAGTATTTAGACATTTCTCTAATATATATACATGTACAAAAGGGCATATAATAAGTATTTCTTATGATCTTATCAGTGTTTTAAGGTTAACATCACTAATTTAGCCCAGTCAGAAAGAACATACAAACAAGAGACACACCTGTGCCTGTATCGCTAACCAGTTTGCTAATAAGGACTTTCATATGAACATACTGACTATGCCGTATGGGTTTTGCTCATTGTTGAAGGCCGTATGGTGACCTATAATTTGTTAACTTCTATGTCATTTGGTCTCTGGTGGAAAGTTGTCTGATTGGCAATCATACCACATCTTCTTATTTTTATATACATGTACATTTGTACTCTAGTCATGATAGTAAATCTTTGTGTTGCTGATCATTTTTGCAAACTAAATGTTTAACCTTGCTCCTATAGATTAAGAAAACAGCCAAAAACTGGAAAAAATAAACATTTCAGAGGCAATAACTCCAAAACAGGTTGTCAAATTTTCAGAGAAAATAGATCTTGTCATGCTTATCATTTTTGCCTTAAACACTTTTAACCTGGCTACTTTAATTTTCAAAATAACAGCAGAAAATGGAAAAAGTGTATATTTCAGGTGCAATAACTCGAATCAAATTGACAATTTTTTCTGTAATTTTCAGGGTTAATGCATCTGGTCATGCTGATCCCTTTTGCAATTTACTTTTTAAACCTAGCATGCCCTTAAATGGGGGGGGGGGGGGGGGGGCAGAATGGATATATATTGATAATTCAGGGGCAATTGCAATTATTTCAAAATGAATAAATTGTTCTCCAATTTTTTAGGGTGCATACATCTTGCCATGCCAAAACTGTAGTTTGGCCCCTAGTTTCAATTTTTAACCACAACAGACAAGTTGGTTGATCAACCTGAATGAAAATCACAAACCTTACACTTGAAATCTTATAAAAGGAATAGACAAACTTTGGTTACAATCCATTGAGCAGTTTTAGAGAAGAAGATTTTGAAAGAATAGTTTACAAACGACAGACACAAAGAGATGACTTTCTATCATTCTAACAAAATTTGCTGATGGATGGATAAACAGAAAGACAGAAATATGGATAACTAGAACAAAGTTTGTAACAGGGTCAACCTTAATTCACATACTTGTACTGCCACAAATTTTTTTACACATGCATTTTACATTATACAGGCAAATGAGTGTTAACTAACCAACTTTAGGGAATATAATGATATACTCCATATTACACTGTGGACAAGCTACTTTGGCAGTACTGTTTCCTTTTTGCTTCTCATCTATCCATCTCTGAAGACAGTATTGGTGGACCCATTTTGTTGTTCCTTTGCACATACATGGCTGGACCCAACCTGCCTCCATGTCATCTTCATCTGTAGCAAAACACACCCAGCATGATCTCCTTTGAAATACAAAATACAGCTGTGATAATTTGCTTTTAAAAAAACTAAATACTGAGCATGAAGCACCAAAGGTGCATGATCTGAGTTGCGACAAAAGCGATTATTTGTATGGTAATGAAAATCAGAAATGTCTTCCTAGTCAGAGTAAAAAAAGTACCCTATATGAAGATATTCTTTGTAGAAAAGAAGTCAAGAGAATTGTATTATTCAAGATGATATGTTAAATCCAAAGTTCAGTCCATCCATACCCTAATAGCCAGAATGACATGTCTGAGTAGAATGATTTGACGTCTTCCTTCATGCTGTTACAATGTGAACTCGTACTTTAAAACTCTACCTCAGCTTGTCGGTCTAGTATAAATCAGGGTTCATATTGATATCCCATTACCATGTTTAAACGTTAATTATAAACAGCCATCCACTACCATCTAAGATAGGCCACTCTGTCCTACATTTTTAACTATCTTTTATAGACTCTGGATGAAAAATAGCTATACATATATTATCAGACACTTGTCCTTTATTGAAGACTTTATGTTACCCTCTAGATGTTTTTTGGCTATTTTACATTTGGATAGCTGTCTCATTGAAATATACTCCAATATCTCCCATTATTCAGGTAGCAACTCTCCATACCATTTTAAAGATTTGAAATAGAATTAATAACATAGATAGTTTACAATTGATAAAAAGTGAAATTATAGTGTTTCCTACAGGAGGTTTTGGCACGATATGAAGACCTGCCCTTTTTTTAAAAACTTTTTGCGCCATACCCCTTTTCAATCGTATTTTATAACACCCTGTCGTAATTTAAGATCAGTTCTGCGATTAATGTTTTAGCAAGACCATTTCAAGTAATTTCCCTTTAGAAATTTCAAAATTTTAACTATTGAATTTCGAAATTCTGTTTGAACATTTTTGTAGCGACCGAGTACAAATACGGTTTATGATTATATCTTATAAGGACATCATGGACTTTGTACTGCTATGAATTTAAAATTTAGACAATTTAAAAAGGGACCAGGCAATCGTTTCAGTTATAACTTTACAACGCATGGGATGAACATAACATAAACAATCAGCTGTATGTTGATATTTTCATTTTTAAGTTTGACCACTTTAACTATTCAATCGGTCGAGACAACGGAGTGGGTGTGAATTTATGATGGCTTTCATACTGTTGTTATCTATTAAAATAAAAAGAAATTAAATTAAATTAAAGTTAAGAGAATAGCTGATACAGTTTTGATTAGTACGTTTCAATAGACAAAAAAATACTGAATTAAATGGAAAAAAAAAAAATTAAGGGGAATGTGTCCCATGGACACAGATGATGCCCCTGCTTGCTAAAACTTTATAAAGGGACATAACTCAAGAACTGTAAAAGTGACGCTACCCAAATTTGTACTTGATCTGAGTTTTGTGGTAATAAGCATTGTTTATAAGTTTCATAACATTTAGTTGAGGCAAACTTAAGTTAGAGAATGGAAATGAAAAATTCAGCAATTTTTCCATTTATAAAGGGGCATAACTCAAGAACGGTAAAAGTGACGCCACCAAAATTCGAACTTGATCTGTGTTTTGTAGTAATTAGCATTGTGTATAAGTTTCATAACATTTGGTTGAGGCAAACTAAAGTTAGAGAACAGAAACAAATATTTCAGCAATTTTCCATTTGAAAAGGGGCATAACTCTAGAACAGTACAAGTGACACCACCAAAATTCAAAATAGATCCATATTTTGTGGTAATTAGCATTGTGCATATGTTTCATAACATTTGTTGAGGCAAACTAACGTTAGAGAACAAAAACAAATATTTCAGCATTTTTTCCTTTTGTAAAGGAGCATAACTCTAGAATAGTAAAAGTGATGCCACCAAAATTCAAACTTGATCTGTGCTTTGTGGTAATAAACATTGTGAATAAGTTTCATAGCATTTGGTGTAGGCAAACTATAGTAAGAGAAGGGAAGCGAAAAATTCAGCAATTTTTCGATTTTTAAAGGGGCATAACTCTAGAACGGTAAAAGTGACGCCACCAAAATTCAAACTTGATCTTTGTTTTGTGGTAATAAGCATTATGGATAAGTTTCAAAACATTTGGTTAAAGCAAACTAAAGTTAGAGAACAGAAACCAATTTTTTGACTTTATTCATACCAAGCTAACTACATGTGGTATTTTATACATCAAAGCTATATAACAGCAATCGTGATTTTCAAACACAGAACAATAATACCAAATTTGGCTTTGTAAATACTAATTAACAGTTATCATACCTAATTAACACTTAATAAGTAATCTTCACATCTTAAACAAAATATTTCATCCCGAAGTTTTATTAACAAAAATTTAAATATTTTGATAAATACAACTAACAAAACATCTAATAATTCAACCAGTATCTGAATAAAAAGATATTCAGACTAATAAATGTAATTATTCATTATTTCAGAATGAGGCCAGACAGCCTTGGGTCAGTTGGTTTGAGGCTGGAACAACCTACCAGCCAAAAATACAGAGTCCCCTTGTCTAAAGTCATAGTAGGCCATGTACATTTTATGTGTAAGGTTTCATTTAGACTTCAGTTCAGTAAATTACCTTTCTTCCTCAGACAATCTGTGGTATAGTTTAGCAACAGACATAATCAGATCAGAATCAAGACATTCTTATTCACAGGAAAATAAGTCTGAATGGTTTTAAAAATCAAAATAAAGTAAGTTTCAGTCACAATTTAGTGATGTTTACAACATAACATGATCAACATCAGTGAAGAAAAAAAACAACAATCGTATGTGCAGATGGTAGAAGTTCAATCAACCTTCCCCTTATCAGCTTAAGGCATAGTTTCTACGCAAATTTAGAGTACTCTGAAACCAAAATGTGTTTCCTCTTGTGTTGTTATGTTTCTTAAGTGTCTGACTGCAATACAGACAAGTAAAATCAGATGCCCGGTCAGAATTTTTTCTGAAAAAAAATGAACCGGAAGTCCGTAGCAACACTAGTTTCCGTTCTGCTCTTATATGTCTCCCTCCTTTGTTCTTGGGAGCACCGTCAGTTAAAACATGTTCAACGATTTTGATATGTGTCTATCAGTATGTATCATTACTTTTTAAATTACAGAAGAAACCTTAAGATCAGATAGATAAGATATTTTATTCCAAATAAAAGGCCCGTGAAGAGCAAAGTAATTTAATACATTTTTTTTATAATTGACACAAGTAATTTGGACAATTATATATAAATATGAATATAATCTGGGACTAGTATAATCAAGGATTTGTATAGTAAGTCTTACTATACAAATCCTTGGTATGATAGTCCCAGAAATAATCAACTAGATTTTAACAGATCTAAAGCCGCAGCCAGATCAGAGCCATAAGCATATGTGTAAAAAGAGGAGTAATAAAACAGATTATATATGATATTAACAGACAAATATTCTTTATGACCGGGTTACATTTAAACATATCTGTACTATATTGATACTTTCCTGTCAGAGTTCAAAACATTTATTAATATAGATTCCAATAATTTTCAATACCTCTAGGTTTTCTTGAATAAAAAGCCAATTTAACTTGGCACTTGTGTTTAACATCTACCACTGTACCAATTTCTGAGATTTGCTCTTACAATCCGTTATGTGTCAAAAGTGCCATATTCACTATTTCTGGCTTACTAATAGCACTCATTTTAAGTCTTAATTGAGTATCGTCTGTTTTGATAACCTACGCGGTTCCTTTCAACGTCTGTTTGTCTACGTTAACGGTTCTTTCTTTCTCACCTTTTTATACTACCCCTAAACACCCCCCCCCCCCCCCCAAAAAAAAATTAATGTTGAAAGTGAAACTGGGAGGGTAGAGATATGCCTTAATTGGAAATTTTTCAAGATTTAGATCCAATTTTATGGTTGTGTACACGGCTCTCAAGAGATGAGTTGACGGGGACATGCATATTTTATTAGAAATATAATGTTTTATAAGCAGGTACATTTATTTTATGCTTACTATACCGGTACTTTTAGCCTACTTATAGTAATTTCAGATTTTTTAAACTTAATTTGACCTTTAAAACTGAGACACTCACTGTGATTGTGGTCTGAGGCACAGGCACGTGACTTTGGACAAAAAAAACTTAGATACTTTAATATTGTTAATATTGTTAATATTAAAGTATATAGGCAATTTTTTTCAGAGACAAGTGCCTGTGGTCTGAGGCCATAAAAAAATCAAATTTTCCTAAAACAATGATTTGATAAAGCTTGGTGTAACTATAACTGTTGTAGTCGGTTCAATCCCCATTAAGTGATAAAACTCACAAAATACAATAATTGGGTTGCAAAAAAATGATTAATGACATTAGTTAATGTGAAGTGTTTGAAATACCGATGGGGACTAACTGTGTGCCTCTTCTGGAATGTGTATTCGTTTACTGTTATGAGTCACAGTTACAACTGGACTGATGATAAATCCCAACTTGGTATATTTTTCAACAATACCTTCAAATATCTAGACGATACATTTTTCTGTATCATGTGTTCATTGTAAATAATCGAGATTTTTGTAGTCGTATCTTCATTAGGCCAAGGACGTATAACTGATGCATAATATACATGCACCCGTGGTTAGGCTTAATCCAACGTAAATAGGGACTGGTATTATTTTGAAACCTTGCCATTAGAATTTCTCATTGTAATCATCAGACTAAAATTATAATACACGGAACAACTTTTGCATTCCTATTATCAATTTTCATCGGTTCCCTGGCGACGATGTTCTATTGGCCACATCTAAAGAATAGTACATAAAAATGTTCTTATTTGGTTTGATATAAGTTTAATTACAATAAAACTTGTTTTATAAATTGGCCAAAATTTTTACCAAATTTTACCACAAATTTATGCTTTCTGGAATTAAATCCAACCTGTAGGGATTCTATATAGAAAGTGGTGTATCACACACAATTTTTGAGGATAATATCATTAATATGGTCATTTAATATAAAAATATCCAATTTAGCAAGTGTCTAAACAATGTGATAATTATACTGGTGTTCCCTGAATCATCGAGTCTAGTATAGTAAGACTAAAATGTTTCTTTTTATTTTTATGCTTTGAAATTCTATACAGATTAGTTCTGAACCATGATTGCAGTGATAAGATCGTGTCATAATTCTTGTTCTATTTATGACTTTTATTTTGCTTTCAGTAACTGCGAACATTAATCGCCGATACGGTAAAGTATCGTTTTTTATTGCTTTGTCATGATACTTATATTTTTTTCTTAATATAACGTTGATCCTTTGCATTTGGTCAATTCTGATCACATTTGGATGTAAAAAATAGACCAAAGTAACATGTATACTAGCCAAATGTCGTATGTATGCATTGAAAGAACATTTTTGTATTGTTATTGAAAACGGAACCAGAGGGGCTTGGGATATGATGTAGTTGCGTTGGCACTCAATTTCATAGTTTCAGTTGTGCGATTTAAAGTAACTAGATACACTGGTGCTTTGTTGGAAATGAAAGAAAAATCAGTTGGGTTCGACTGACAAGATTCTTAGGCAAAATTGACTGAATTGAAAATACACGAATTGAAAATACACCAAAATGTAGCCAATTTTGCGATACTGCACCATATTCTGAATTTGCATTAGGTTTGTGTTACTCTGCATTGATTTCTGATGAGTGTATTGTGGGCTTTTGTTTGTCTGGTCGTCATGTTTCCCTGTTGGTCATGGTGTTGTCGGGATTTCTTCGACTGATGGTTTGCCCCTTTGGTATCTTCTTACAGTAAATGTTGGGTTTTCTCATTTTTGTCATTGGCGGGTGCATGGTGTACTGTTTCAGATACTTATAATCTCCTTTATTGCGTATTAAAAACATATTTGGTGTCAATAATAAATAAGCAATACTGGTCCATTAGATATGCTCACGAATGATAACTAATTTTGTAACATTTCCAAGATTTGCTCAATCTAATTAAAATATAGATCTCTGATTTCGTTATCGTCGTACGCGAGCACGCGAGTTGTGATAGATCTGAATTTTAATTAGATTGAGATTTGCTGAAAAAGGTGTCGATACAGTTCACTTTGTATTATTATTTTTGTGAATTTTCAGTTGAAAATCACGATGAAAACTCAGTAAAAAAGTTACACCGCTACTTTTCAGAGGGAAAATCGCAAGCAAGTTCGAATTTGGGAAAGATAAAATTCAATGTTTTAACTTTATTTCTTATTACCGTGCTGCCCTGCACGCCCATTCAGCAAAATTTTTTTCCGCTTGATTGAAAATTCGAATTGCGTGCAATAAAACATATGTATTTACCGACGTTTACTGGTAAGTTTTGCAAGGTTTTCATACTTTCGTTAATCTATAATTCTGATATATTCATAAACCAAAGCCGTTTGGCTTTCGATGTCAATTTGAAAAATGAATACATCAAAATTACGCCGTAGTCGTCCCAATTTCACAAAAAAAAATTCAGATTTCCATAAAATATCGCTACCCTAACCTCATTTTTTGTGGGATTCACTTGACGTATGTCAGATCAGATGGTGCAAACTAGGCAACGTTAGGAGTTTGACATGTTAGAAGCCTATGCATTTACCATAGATGTTGCTCCGTTAGGGAGCTCCCCCCCACTTTCCCCTTAAATCCATCTCTGCAAATCTCTCGCCAAATTTACTTCATTTCTAATTCATCTGAAAAGGACAAAATAGTTTTCCGACCCGCGGCCATGTCCCGTTTTAAATAACCAAAATACCAATACAATACCAAAAACGTTCTTCCAATGCATTCGTAAAACATTTGGCTTCATATGTTACTTTAACAGTTACATCGACTTCTTTTCAGTTCAGAAACTTGCGATGAGTCTATATAAGAATAAATCTTCTTTGAAAAGACAAATGTGTAGTTTAAGCAGCACGGATTTTGAAGGGGGCATCAAAGCAACATATAAGGAGTGGGACTTGTCAATTTTTTTTGCATTAACCAAAAATGTAGCTCCATAAGGGGGACCATTCCCTCCCATGAATTCGCCTCTGGTAGTGTTTTGTAGACTTTATTGTCCTTTCGACTTTTTTCGATTTTTGCCATCGATTTGTCTGTTTCTCTTCGACTTAAAAGTTTGAATGTCCCCATGAATATTTTCACGGAATTTCAGTATTATCGTTTAGAACAACTGGGAAAAGAGAGCATATTATACAGGGGCATACGTTTTTGTCTTGCAACTGGTTAAACATGGGTTATGTCATTGTTTCATATGAATCAACGTAAAAGTCGGCGAGAAGAGAGCACAGTTAGTTCCTACTGAGATTACGATAAACCATGTGTTATAGTAATCTCAGGTTCGTATAGAAATTGCGGGTGTCTATTGAAAACCACGTTCTAAACGTAACAAATACGTTCCAGTGGCGGAACCAGGGGGAAACGGGGGGTTCCGGAGGTTGGAACTCCCCCTTTTTTCTTGACGATCAATGCATTTGAATGGGGACATATAGTTGGAACCCCCTTTTTATCCGGGGTTGGGAACCCCCTTTTAAAAATGGCTGGATCAGCCACTGCGTTCTCGATAACAAAATCAAGCATCATGTCAATTTCACAGTTCCGACGTCATATTTTAATCAGAGTTTTTGTTTTCTAACAAATTATAAAACAAAATATTTGTAACTAGCTTCATTGCCGGGTCGTTTTAAGAAAAATAATTGACTATAGATTAGTTTTTTAGTCAATAGCGAATATTTGTGTGTACATAGTCTAGCAAATGTATGAATAAAAAAATCCCTATATACTCTATGCTATGAAATACACGTTTTACGTTTCAACTTTTTTTTATTCTGTATTTTCGTAAAAAAAATGGTTTGGCATTTAGTTGCCTCATGTTAAAACACAGCGTTAAGGGAAAATGATTTGTTTTAATTTTATAATGTTGTAATAATACAGGTGACTATATACATGGGAGATTGCATTCACAAAAGTTAATTATCAACTGTAACAAAGTCAATTACCTGGTTTTCGAAAGATCAAAACAATTGATTTACCCCATGAAGAACCCACTTATATCTGCTTTGCATATTATACCGTTAGCTCCTCCTTAAATTTGGCCCAGTGTAATGGATTCGTATTGCCGTTTCACATACCCTTAACATAATTTGCTTGTAAAAACAAAAAAATGGGTGAGTAACAGAATTTAAGATTTGCAGCATAACACATATTTAATAAAAAGAATATTAGTTTCATTCAAGATCTTATTTAAATAAGAAGAAAAGTACAGATATTGCGGTCAATCTCATTTGCATATTGGGAATCTAGAGACTGTCAAACAAAACGGAAATGAAGATCACTGAACATAAACGCAGTATTGTGTAGTGCAGCTCCAGAGATAGCAGACGTGGCGGATATAGGGACGGAGACGATACTCCCCCTTCTTCATTAATGTGATATATATTTTCAATGGGGGATTACGGACTTTCTCTGGCTTCGAATTTAAGTGGAATACAAGCTAAACTCCAAAACAAGTTGCAGTTTTCATCGGAATCTTCACCATCAACACGTACGATGCAAGATGAGATAAATGACAGATCAGTGAATAAACAGCTGCAGCAATCAGATAAGTCTAATAATAATTCAAGTAATCAAAATGGAGATTTAAATAGATTATCTAAAAGTGAAAATTCGAATATACACTTCCCATTAATCGACGAGAAACGATTAAGTAATCCACTCCAAGGGCTGGACCAGCCATCTACGTCAACAGCTGTCATTACTTCACATTCCACAACTGACACGGGATTATGGTCAAACTCCACTGCCGATGACTCTTATTTACAAGGATATCAATCACTGAATGGCACTGTTGCTTTTCAACAGTTTCCTCCAGCCCCAAACAGTATCTACAGTAGTGGAATTTCATCCCATATGGGAGTAAATCATATGCCACAGAATCCCCAGAGGAGAGCCATTACTGCTCAACATAACTTTCAGAATCAGAGACCCCAACCAAGCATGTTATTAAATAGTAATGCCAAACCATTCTCAAGTAATTGGAGTACACAACAACAACAGTGGTCAACACAGAACCAGCCTCCAACAATGGCATCCTGGAATAGTATGACCCAACCAGGTCAAAGAAGGTCAATGCCAAATATGAACCCATTTTTGAAAAAGAGCAGCATTTCACAGCAATTTTCAAATCAAACATTTCTTGCCCCATCAAAGTTCCGTCGCAGCACTTCATTCCCAGGTCAGATGCACCAAGCTACGATGATGAAACCCAACTTTGATCACATGTCTGCTATTGATGATCTTCAGAGAGACAGCGTACTTAATTACCAGGTATGTTGTTTTGTATTGCCAGGTAATATTTTCTATGGTGTAATCTGCTCCATATGCTGTATATCAAAATAATCTTCACATTCCACAGATGTTTCTATATTGCCAGTAAATTATACAGATCTCTGCAGGCTTATCAAAAATATGTACAGTCTGACAGTGCTTGAATACATGTATATATGCATACATATATAATTGAGATACATGGATGTACAAATCAAAATTTATCACTATAAATATCAGTAGTAATTTAACCATATTGTATTAATTATACAATCCAAATAAAAAATGTTATATTGTCTGTGATGGCTGAATTAGTTATGTGTGTAATTTATTATTATTTCAACTTGTAACAAAAAGTAATACATGTATAATACAATACAATATACATGTTTGAATGGTACATGTATTTTATTTTCAAATATATTCAACCAAACATAACACCACTCTCAAGTTCTCTGCTTCTACGTGTATGTCTGACCTCAGTTTTGCAGTGGTAAACCATTGAACAGCCAGTAGCAAAATAATATATTTGTTCTTTGAAGGTCAGATAATTTCTTCTGTGATTTAAAAAAATACATTAAACTATTTGATTTCCTTCATCGGCAATCACTACACTTTTCCTTTGTGGTGTCAGACATTTTCTCTTGTGACGACAAAATTTTACAGGAACCTCTGTGATGTCCAGTAATGGCGGATAAATAGCGATAAGGGGTATTGTTTGATATCTGTAAAACTCTTCCTAGAATATTTTTTTAGACTTAAGTCAGTGGTCATGTTGGTAACATGCATTATGGTATCAGAACTTCTTAAATAGAAAATTTGAACTGTAAACAAATTATTTCACCAGGCACCTGTTCATTGAGATGCTTGCAGGAGGGATATAAATAATTACATGAAGTAAATATGGTTACAGGATTTGTCTGTTCTTTAGTGTTACCCATATATACATGTAACTAATTTAGTCAACAGACACCCCTTAGTCCAGTTTTGCTCTAATCTTCATGTGAATTTGTTCACTATTTGACAGGGAAGTGGTCGAAATAGGCCTCAAGGCTATTGAAAACATAATATTGGTTCCCTTACTTAACACACTAAAATTTTAAAGGGTCTGCAAGTAGAAAAACTTGCTTATTTTAATTTTATTTTGCCAAAAAATCAGACAAAGCACTTACATGTAAAGTTTCGCTCTACAGACAATTTTTTCTTAAACCACTGACAGGAAATTCTTAAAAAAAAACCTGTTTGACATTATATCTTGATCTTTATTACATTTGTATTATGATATTTTAAACTTCAAGAAGGATGAAAATGAATTGTTTTAAAGAAATTATCAGACAATTAAAGCATCATTGATTATTGTCTTGAAAGAGTGACTTAATATTTTTTTCATCTGTTTATTGTATCTTATAACTGGTCTGCATATACATATATATATACATGTAAATGTACATGTATACAATGTATATAATGGTATACTTGTATAATATAAACTCGTAGTATTCTTATTATTATATGGTGATACTTCTACCATTGAGTGATATTTGCTCTATTGTTTATGAAAGTAATGTTTTTACCCCAATATTGTCATTGTGGCTAAATGAACATAAAACAATAATAGTGTGTAACATGATCTGGGCATGGTGTCATAGGGACACATATTCTTGCTGACATCTCCTTTGAAAGCACTTGCAATTGGCACATGGAATTTTGTGGATGCAATGGATCTTGAGGGTTTCCCTGTCAAATTTAGTCAGACATACTAACCAGTCATTCAAGAATTAAAAACTTGCAATAATTTTAGAATTTACAGTTAGTATTTCTCCAAAGGCGAGTAAGAAAGATATTTGGAAAGTGCTGATATTAGGGAACTTGCTGATAAGGCAACTGATATTTTCCAGGCTATTTGAATTGATTCTGAGGTTGCTCACCCATGATTTGTCATTATGAAGCTCATGGATGTGAAGTCTGTTTATGTTATTTCAATGTGAAGACTCGAGAGTTACATGTACTAAACAATGATGATTTACGTTCATAGGGGATTTCAATGGGTTACAAAATGAAATGAATCATCTTATAATAGTTTTACCTTATTATGGCCCAGGAAAGTTTATTTTCAGCGAAATACAGGACAAACATTTTATGTGTTGACTATTTGAATGCCATCTTTAAATACATGTACTTTTCTGATTGTCCAAAAGTTTTATCTGCAATTTTGAAACAGCAATACAAAATTGAAATGTTCCCAAAGATCAATGAAAGTAAAATTAAATTACTCTCCAAGCTGGCAAGTCGAACTTTTTATGCCCCCGCCGTCGCGGAGGGGGCATTAAGTTTTACCCTTGTCCGTCTGTAAGTCCCAAAATAGGTTTTCGTTCTCTAACTATAGTTTGCCTCAACCAAATGATATGGAACTTATACACAATGCTTATTACCACAAAACACAGATCAAGTTTGAATTTTGGTGGCGTCACTTTTGCCGTTCTAGAGTTATGCCCCTTTACAAATGGAAAAATTGCTGAATTTTTTGTTTCCGTTCTCTGACCTAAGTTTGCCTCAACCAAATGTCATGAAACTTATACACAATGCTTATTACCACAAAACACAAAACTCAGATCAAGTACAAATTTGGGTAATGTCATTTTTACCCTTCTTGAGTTGTGACCCTTTATAATGTTATATGCAAGCAGGGGCATCATCTGTGTCCCTTAGACACATTCCACATTTATTTTCCCAAAAAAATAAATAAATAAATAAAAATTGGTAATTTTTGGTTATAAAAAAAAGGTTCTCCTTTAGCATGTCCCAAAATCATCTATGTCTAATTTGCCCTCATTTAAAAGGGTTTTTGTGACCGTGAATGATAATAACCAAATGAAATTGATTGAAGAAAAAAAATTATTTTAAAGAAAAATCCTGACCTACCGGGCCTGAATTATGATGGTCTCACATAAAACTTTGATTTTAGTGCAGATCTGAAACTAAAGCTTGCCCTGTATATGTTCAAAGCAAATGTTGAACAACTTAAACATAAGAAACTAAACATTTTGAAGCATCTACCATTATTTCATTACAAATTAATATGTAAAGTCTAGGTGTTTCTGAAAATTACCTGTACATGGCTTGTTCTTGGAAATTAGTCTGAAGAGTTATAATGTGCATGGTCATGAAAATAAGGAGATAATCCTACTCTGTGGTATGATTGCCAAAGAGACACCTTCATCAGAGACCACTGGACATTAAAGAACATAGATTTAAATAATGGAGTATTATATTGACCATTATAGAGATGAAAATATGAGCAGCATTTAGTTGCAAAGTCTAAAGTTCATATATGGCCACATTTGATATAAAATAACTTAACAAGAAAATGTGGTATGACTGTCAATAAGACAACTATACATGCTATAATCCACTAAAGTTCAAATGCTTGGAACTTATTAAACATGTTAGCAGGGAATAAGACTAACATTTTCCAACTAGGGGCCCAACCTGCCACAATGTGAAAATTAACATAAATTAAGCACTATGGGCATTTTAATAAAAAATCTAAGGGCCCAACCCAAATTTAAGTAGCATTCACCAGGCTACTGGGCCCTGCTAATCTTTTTCCCTAATTAGGGGTTGAAGGTTCCCTTCTGCTTAAAAAAATAGTATTACTAGGTTTTAAATTTAGTTTTTTTTTAAATTTTTATATTTTAATTTCTTATCAACAAAGCAGTCGCATGGTCAATTTTGACACAAATTTAAAATAGTATTACTAGGTTTTAAATTTAAGTTTTTTTTTATATTTTTATATTTTAATTTCTTATCAACAAAGCAGTCGCATGGTCAATTTTGACACAAATTTCTTATTTACTAATTAGCTTCAGATAATTTTAGTGTGACCAAAGTTTTTCAAGTGTGATTTTATGGAAACACTGTCACTGGCTTCTGCCATTGTCAATTTCTCAGTAAGATTTTAAAGTTTGGTAGTTTATTGTTACATACATAAACACATCTAGAAAGTTTACATAATTCTGTTCATTGTACATTGTTTGTATAGATTTGTTTGTACTATTACAGGATCGCACCAGTTCTCTAGACAGTATGAAATTTTCTGCATTTGAAAGTCAACTGTTAGACATTATGAAATCTACTGGTGACAACAATGATATGCTTAAAGGTAAGGAATTGAGCCAGTATTCTTTGTGTCCTAAATAGAAGTAATTTTCCCCTAAAATTCTGAAGTGTGGCGAATTATTATTGACTTTTTACCAAAAACCAAACACAGTTAATACCACTATTTGATAACTAAGCAGGATTATATCATATATGTACATGTATGTGGAGTTAAAAACAAAAAAAAAGACCTCAATTTTGGAAAAGCAAATACATGTACATGGACAATTTCTGGTTATTTTTCCACAATTGTATGACTTAAACTTTAGATTTTATAAGATTTTTCATATAATGTGCACTAACTCAAGTTTGCTAAGATAATTTACTGGAAGCTTAGTGCTTTACAAAGTTAAAAAATAAAATAGGAATCTGGTTAGGTTTATTATTGGTAGAGACCCTTTTTGACTGCCAAAAAGGAAATCAGACCCACTAGCTATGTATTTGCCATAGAAATTGTTATGAGAAACAGGGCCTAGTAGTCCATGCCACTTAACTTTAGAATTTTGTTAATTTCCTGTATGACGAAATATCGTAAGGCTGGAGAAAATACAGGCTGTGTATCTATGTGCTACTTCACACAAGCCCACTTGGCAAATGCTAGTTTAATCTCTGCTTTTTACCTGCATTGCCAACCAGGGAAAGCAGTTCTAGAAACCACTAGACTCCGTTGGTCTGTCCAAAAGACGTTGGGTAGAAATGTTTTTGGATTCACTCAAAGGGAATGATTTTATATTTTGTCTGCAGCTTGATAATGATGAGTTGTGGTGTAAGCAGCCTCTTCCCGTTTATTGATAGTGTGAAAATCTTGCAACATACAAGGAAAATTTTCATCAAACTTTTATTGCCTTCTATGGAAGGGAATGATTTTATATTTTGTCTGCAGTTTGATAATGTTGATTTGTAGTGTTAGCAATTTTAACATCTGCAATGTAGCCACTTCCTGTTTGCCAATAGTTTTAAATTTTAACAAAACTCATTGTACAAGGAAAATTTTCATCAAAGTTTTCTTGATTTTAGTGATTTCAATGATTTTAGGGAATGATCAGTTGTGCCTCAGTATACATGACAGTGATGTTAGTTTTTGTTACCTCAATCAATTGCATGCAGCAGTACATGGTATTGGTCTTGTTATAAGATGACTAGAAAATGGCCAACACCATCTTCAATCTTAAAGTTGTGAGCTGTCAGAGTTATCCCATTGTTTAAGACCTTAAAATTTCTTCTAGTACATGAACATGTAAATATATTAAAATTAATTTTGCATTTATTGAACACGTTTACCATGGCCATCATTTCAGTTATTTATTTCACTTGCCATTTACCTACAAGTATATATTATATTCATACACAATTTTACATTGATTCCTTTTGTATCATATATTACACTGTATACTATTACAGTAAACAAATGGGCAGATTATTCTCGATTATTGAGATTGTACAATTAATTATAAAGGATTGCTCAATACGCTTTTAAATGCTACAAATGGCTGAATATGAGGAAATAAAGTGTTTCTATACTGGTACTGAACAAAGCGAAATTAAAATCAATGGAAATTATCTAATCAACAGTTTTAAGTTTGATTTTATTTGTGATTTTCAGCCAATAATTACTTTAATTCATCAGGAATTTATAGATTTTTCACACAATTACTTGTATAAAGAAAAATACCAGGGATTCGATCATTATGATGCTTTATATTCTTTTCTGTCTTTGACAAAATGTATATTTTACAGCAATAATTGACTGCATTCATCATCTCTAGATAAATACATGCCGAAGGTTATTCTGTCAAGGTTTCAAATAATAAGCTCCAATCTATTCATTTATGGATTAATTTTGCAATTTTTTACGTAATAGTGGTAAAAGAATGAGTATAATATTGACTTGAAAGGGTTTTGATAAAATATTTCTTTGCTTCAAATATTGACTACTGGTACATATCACATTTGACTCCAGACTTGAAACTTGATGAATATGATTTTTTATTTCATTTAGAAATAAAAGCTGAATAAAACAGAACTATTGATTAGACAGTGTTGATACAATATCTTGTTGATTTTCTTTTCTTCTTAATTTTAGCTTTTTGTACTAATTATACCAATTTATGAATATGTGTGGCATTATATTATTTCAGCTGGGAGATGCATTGTACATTTCATTAAAAACAGATACATGTACAGTAATATCATAGCAGAAATATTTATGACTTTTAGGAAAGGCTTAGTGATAAAGAACATGGTGAATTGTAGGGAGAAGAAAACAACATTTGTCAGTTTGATGAGAAACAGTTTCAATGATATCTTTATATTTCTTACAAATTTTATCTGTTAAACATTGATTGAAATGATGTAACTATGCTACAGATGCATATTGTATGAATTTTTCGTATGACCTTCAGTTTTAAAACGAAAAAAGGGGTAAACGTTTATGAAGAATCAAAGGCATATTTCAGACCCTTTTCAGATCGGTATCATATTTTTTTCTTTGGGGGTTAGGGGCACTTCATTCTTTTTGTGGTAGGGGTGAGTGTATCGGCAGCTAAGACATCCAGTATCCCACCCTTTTTGATATATTTCAATATCAAAAATACATACCCTATCATATATTTAGACAAAATAATATCTATAGCTATATTACATGTATGATTACGATATTTTATGGAGAGATAAACAGATTTGACGAATATCTGATGTTTACTGAAATACTTGGTATTTATAATTACAGGTAATTGGCCTATTGACTCTATTGAAAATTCTAATATTTCATGTAATTTTCAGAAATTTTAACAAATTGTTATCTGTTTTAAATTATTTGTTAGGTGTAATCAATATATTTGATTAATTACAGGTAAACAGATTTATGGCTTCCCTGACAGAAATTTAATGTTGGATGATGATTCTCTGGACCAGACAGTGGCAAGCCTTACTGCCAGGGGTTCTCCACAGGGGGAGAGAATTGAACGCTTCTCACGCAAAGTGTTTGTTGGAGGCCTTCCCCCAGATATTGATGAAGGTATTATAGTTTTATTGTGCTCTCATAATTGATTGTGGTAGCAGCTGTTTGCTTTCAGCTTTGTAACAATTTTGATATCCATAAACAAGTTAACAGAAGTTTGGATTAAGCAAAAAAAATATTTTTTTCATTATTTTGCATACACTTAAGCTAAGGCAAAAACAAAATTTTTGTTTACTGAACCCCATCCAACCCTAAATTTTGAAAGCAAACTCTTTAATTTTTTTACTGAAATTTGGGCAAATTATATTTTCACTGGTATTTTTCCTGACAGCATTGTTCTTTTGTTCAACCACTAACTTAAGGCAGAAAATTGTCAACAAGTATTGTGTAAAACCGAGTCAGAACATATCTGACTAACAGAAACAACTTCTACAAATGTCCACTAACTGGATATATAAATAAATGCAATATCTGACCCTGGAACCATATAAAGCTATATCCAGGTTTGCTGATCAAATAAAAAAAAAGTTTTGATGACTGACCAACCCCTTTTTTTTTAACTAGATTTATACATGCATTTTTTTTGCTGAAGATATGTTTTTTACAGTTGGTATCTTATATTATGGAAAGTTTCATGATGTCTATTCTAATTTACATGTACATGCCCTTTGTTTTCCACTGGCAATGCAAGTTCCATGCCCTTCATCCCTGTCGCAGCTTGTAGAACCTATCTCCTGTATTTATTGTTAATAGTTTTCTTGTCTTGAATAGACACGAAATAATTGCCACTGGACATAAGGCAAACAACAGACAATCAGAATAACAAGCTATAGCTGTAGAGCCACAATAACTTATTTGTGTATTAGTAGTGCATTATATAAATGACTGGTACTACATGTGAAAAATATTCAACAAAACCAAACTCCCAAGGTAATTTCAAAAAGGATGAAGTCCATAAAACCTGACAAAATCAAACACTCCACTATATCAACCAATGGAATGAATGGAAAACTACTGTCATATTCTTTACTTGTACAGACAGAGGTGGGTTAAACCTGGTTTTATAGCTAGCTAAACCTCCCACTTGTATGACAGTTTTTTATAGTAATATTGACAAAATTGTGTGTCTGCAATCAAAATAGACAATCCTTAAATATATCTATTGTACTGTAGGGAAAAAAACACTAGTGTTATATTAAGATTAAAGAGAATACCATAAGCTGTAATAAAAAAATCTGACACAATTTATAATTTGATGAATATAGCAAATTGTTTTATTTTGTTTTCTAGAGGAGATTACAGCAGCATTTAGAAGATTTGGTCCTCTTGTAGTTGACTGGCCCCACAAGGCTGAAAGTAAATCATATTTTCCACCAAAAGGTAAACTTTATCTTATACCAAAATAAACCCTATAAAAAATATTTTAGAGATAGTTTTTTTGTTAGATTAAATCAAAATTAATAATAGCACATTTCCTGTTAAAGGAATTCCAGGATAAGCATGACAACTCCAGGGCTTATGATAGTTGGTACTTGAATTGGACATTGTCCAAAGATTCTGAATTTTAGAAATACCTCCTGAGTGTCAGCAATACAAAATTTGCTGATGATGAAGAAATATCAAAGATGTAAGACTACACTGTGTCAATAACTTATTGATTGTGGGTGGAAGTATTGGATAAGAAATGAATTGCATGTTGTAAATATGTGAAATTATATGATACTTGTCATTTCATTTCTCCGGAGAATATTTTATATATTGCATGTTATATATAATGGAGTTTATCGTAGTGTATTGGGAATAAACCATATAGTTAATGATGATGAGATTTAACAGACATGTTTGATATAAGCAAAGGGAATAGAAGTATTGAACACAAATAAAAAATGTATGCTATACAAATCGAGCATTAATAATAAATCAATTTGTACACGTTATTATATGTACTCTTTATGAACTCTAAATGTACCTTTTAACTGGGTTTCAGAAGGAAAAATCTGATTATTAAATTGGTGAAGTACAGAGCTGTCAGCTGTTTTCATACAATTACGATTGAATCGTTCAACCAAATGTTTTCAAATTTTAATATATTGTTACTGGTGACAGAACAGAGGTCATGTTTGATCTGGAGTTGGGGACCTTGATAGATTGGAAAAAAGCACTTTGTGTCATTTCAGTGTTATATCAGCCATTGCTATTTTAATATGTTGTTACTGATGACAAAATGAAAGTCAAGTTTGACATTGACTCAAAGCGAGTTTTGGTCCTTGATAGATTGGAAAATAGGCGCATAATGTTGCAGGACAAACATGCTTGGTAGGGGCCATACATGACCATAGCTGTCCTCTTATGTTCAACAATTGTTTCAATAAAAAAAACAGAAAGCCTGATTCATTGTCAATTTGATGGCTCATTTATTCTTTTTACATGAAGAAATGATGAGGATATAAAATGGTTCACATGCATCATGCACATGCAACACAAGATTTTAAGCAATGCATGGCACACATGCACTTATGATTTACATCTGACAACATCTTAAAACTACATGGCACACATACAGAATGTACATGCAACAGAACTTAAACAATAATGGCACACACACAGTATGTACATGCAACAGAACTTAAACAATAATAGCACACACACAGTATGTACATGCAGCAGAACTTAAACAATAATGGCACACACACAGTATGTACATGCAGCAGAACTTAAACAATAATGGCACACACACAGTATGTACATGCAACAGAACTTAAACAATAATGGCACACACACAGTATGTACATGCAACAGAACTTAAACAATAATGGCACACACACAATGAACATGCTACAGCATTTTATACAATGTATCACAGTCAATACATGGCACACACAATATATATACTGGAACATCTTATACAATAAAGAGCACTCATACTCATGATCTACATGTTACAAATATCATATGCAAAACATAAACACACACTTGTGAAATACATGTAACAACATCTTATATGATCTATGGCACTCACTTGTGACATACATATTTAACATCTGATACAATGCACACACATTCTTATATAGACCTTGGCACACACACACCAATGCACTTACAACATACATGCTACAACATCTTGTACAATCTATGGCACTCACTTGTGACATACATGTTCAACATCTGATACAATGTGCACACCCATGCACATACACTTATACAATCCATGGCACTCACAACGTACATGTTAAAACATCATTTACAATAAATAGACAAAAATTTACACATGTTTTATGATATTTGGTTTTTAAATAAGTTGCATTTAAGGTCAACATTATATATTGGAAATAATCTAGATTTCTGCAAAAAATCAATCAATCCTGCTTTAAATAATTTCCTGGATTTATTTATTCTGAAATTTTTTTATTTGATGACAACTCAAGTTTCCTTGTATTGATTCTTGTGAAATATATACACTGTCAGGTTTAATAGAGACAAGCCTTCTTTGTACTTTCATGATTTTCCCCCCTGCCCGTCATGTTGAATTGTTATTGTTAGTTGCTATTTCTGTGCTGAGTTTGCATAATTAAAGAGGAAATGCAAAGGCTTGTTGATTTAGATTGACTACTAGATTTTCTGGAAAATTTCAGACACATATCATGCCTTTTTCAGACTTAAATATTGCTCATCTAGGATATTGAACATTCAATCTTTACTCAGAATTTGTATCTTTTTTTCTCAAATTAACTTTATACTTAAACTCTGTTAACAGGTTACTGTTTCCTGCTTTTTCAAGACGAGATGTCTGTACAAGCTTTGGTGGAATCTTGTATCCTTGATGATGACAAACTGTATTGGTGTGTTTCTAGTCCAACAATGAAAGACAAACCAGTATGTATACATATATGAGATAACAATTGGTTTTTTCAGGTTGTTTTTATACGACCGCAAAAATTGCGGTCGTATATTTGTATGACGTTGGCGTCGTCGTCATCCGAAGACACATTGGTTTTCGCACTCTAACTTTAGTTTAAGTGAATGGATCTCTATGAAATTCTACCATAAGGTTCAATACCACAAAAGGAAGGTTGGGATTGATTTTGGGGGTTATGGTACCAAAAATTGAATTCTTGGGGTTCTTTGATATGCTGAATTTAACCATGTATTTAGATTTTGGATATATGACCATAATAGGTGAATGTCCAATTTAAAATTTTTAAGTTCTTAAACCACATTCATTCTGTGTCAGAAACCTATGCTGTGTCAAATATTTAATCACAATCCAAATTCAGAGCTGTATCAAGCTTGAATGTTGTGTCCATACTTGCCCAACTGTTCAGGGTTCGACCTCTGCGGTCGTATCAAGCTGCGCCCTGCGGAGCATTTTATTTTTATATCAATTATCAACAGGAGACAGTAGCAAGATCATGTATCGCTGAAAAGTTGCTTGAATATGTGTTCAAACCTCTGAACTAAGATGGGATTATTCAAAACAATCTAGATGTATAAAGTTGAGTGAAGAATCGACAGAATTTTTAGTTATACCAAGTGAAGATCTGCTTTGTAACAGGGAAACAATACTGATCCAGATAACTTGTGTCTTAAAGCAAGAAATATGAAACTTGTATCCAGGTAAATCATGATTCATTGTTTTTAATGAAAGATGTAAATCCCAGTCGACCTGGACTAGTCTGCAGAAGGGACAAAAAAATTATCTGACAGTCTGAATAAGAATATTTATGATATACTGACATAGTCTCAATAATTTTTTCTTGCGTTGATACAGTTAAGAATATTCAACATAAGATATTATCCTGTTGAGTTGAACACTACTATAATTGCATTTAGTTGTAGAATTACGGGTATTCTTAAAAAAATTATGGACTCGCATTTATGAATTTGCAAGAGGTATGTAGACTTCTGAATGATTATGATTTTTTTTTAATTTCAATTCAGGTACAGATTAGACCATGGACTTTGAGTGATTCTGATTTTGTTATGGATGGATCACAACCACTTGACCCAAGAAAAACTATCTTTGTTGGTGGAGTACCAAGACCACTTAGAGCTGGTAATTCACTTATAGCATGTTTAGCATCTTATCTAACATACCTCGATTCAGTTAAATTTAATAGATTATTCTTTTTTAATCATGCTTAAAAAATTGTGCTCCAAACTAAAGGTTGCCCAGTTGCCATTTTCTGATCGGGAATATTGTAAACTTAGAATTCTGAGCGTTCATATTTATAAATAAACACCATCTTTGTAGAAAATAACATGATTTATTCACACCGCATGTATCATACAAACGTTACAAACTTCCTCCTTTTTGAATCAGAGCCCTCATACTTAGAATAATGATTTCACTTAACTTATATTTACAAACATTATATAATTATATTTACAAAATGTAAAAAAGTTATAATTAAAACTGACTTGGAGGAGGATGGTTATGATGTCATGATTGGAAAAGAAGTCTGAATTTTATTAAATAAAAATAAATAAAACTTATAAAAGATTGTTGTATTTTGTTCAGCCTGTTTTTGACCTTATCATCATACTCCAAAAAAATATTTAATGTTAAACTGATGCAAGTGGTTATTAGTAGGAAAGGGAGAAACCTATAGATTTTAAGATCAGTTGAGCAAAAGTCATGGTCACAGTTGCCAAGGATAGCTGTACATACATTTTAGTATGAAATTCTTTGAAATCTTTATTTCTAGATGAAATCTTTTAAGAATGGCATTTTAATTTTTCAGCATATATTTTGTAGAACAAAATCCATATCTCAGATTGTAGGAAGCGTTTATGAAGTTGCATAACTAGTATAAAAAGAGCCAATTTTAATCTTTTCTATAATGAATGTCTTGTATTGATGAGATGAATTTCTTTTCAGTTGAATTAGCAATGATAATGGATAGATTATATGGAGGTGTTTGCTATGCTGGAATTGATACTGACCCAGAACTGAAATATCCCAAGGGAGCAGGCAGAGTTGCTTTTTCCAATCAGCAAAGTTATATTGCTGCCATTAGTGCTAGATTTGTCCAGTTACAGCATGGAGAAATTGACAAACGGGTACAATTCTAAATTCTTTTGTTATTTGATACAGCAACTTAAATTCTTTGAACTAATTGTCTCACTCATGATATGAAAATGTCTTGGATGCTATAGAAACATTGGTACAGTTATTTATTGACACCAAGGTGAAAAGGACAAACAATTTTAATAAGCTTTGATATAGAATTACAAACAATTACAATTCAATAAGTGAATGACAAAAAATATGTATTTAGAATACTTCTCTTTAATGTCATTTTAAGCAAATAAACCCCCCCCCCCAAAAAAAAAACAGTGATAAGTTACCACATTGGTAAGGGCTGTTTTAGATTTAAATGCATGGAGAGGAGGGGGATGGGAGGCACTTACATTAATAAATTGTATGTGTTTGCATTTTCTTTAGAATTTTGTAAGAGTTATAAGTAAAATGAAAATTTTGATAATATGGGTGGTTTTGGTCTAAAAAAAAGAAGTGCCTCCCATCACCCCATGCATTTAAATCTAGAACACCCAAATTTCTGTCTTTAACTTGTTTTATTAAATGAAATATTGAATAAATACACTACATTAGGACTGACCACAAGTGTTAGCACATGTAGAATCTCCAAGAAGACGCATGTTATAGAAACAGTTTTTCTTTTTAGGTTGAAGTAAAGCCATATGTTTTAGATGACCAGATGTGTGATGAATGTCACGGGGCCAGATGTGGAGGAAAGTTTGCTCCATTTTTCTGTGCTAATGTGACTTGCCTACAGTACTACTGTGAGCATTGCTGGGCTCAGATCCATTCCAGACCCGGGAGGGAGTTTCACAAACCACTTGTCAAAGAAGGAGCAGACAGACCACGAGCTGTACCCTTCCGTTGGTGCTGAAGGAAGAAAGTGCTGTTATAGTGCTAGCTGTTGCATCTTGACTTAACAACACATGGACTAGCCGTGATATTATTGTAATTTAAAGTAGATCATGGCTTAATATATTCACAGCTTTTTAGAAACTTTTCTGAAACAATTTTTTTCTAGTTTTTCACAGAAGACTTTCTAGAAAGCTATTTGTATGTCCATTTATTTTTGCAACAGTGACAAAGGGTTTGTCTCAGTCTTGCCAAGTGGTTTTCACTTTCTCAAAAAGACTTACATTTTTAGAATAAGAATTGAAATTAAGTGTTCAGTCTAGTCACATATAATAAATTAATATATTTTAATAATTATTTGTTTTGAATAATTTCTTTAAATATTTTGAAGTTGAGGGAATTGTTTTTTAATTATTCAGCATTTTAACTTTGTATTTTGATGTTTATAAGCATTTTATACTTTTTTGCGTCTGAAGTTATTGCATGCTGATGTTAATGATGTAATTAGAGAAATTTTATAACCTTTGCTGTTTTGTATGAATTTTTACTGTGATTTTAAGAAAGGGCCAGTGTATAGATATGCTGTTGTGTATACTGTATATTTCTGTTTGTCCAATCATTTGAGTGTAAATCTTTTATCATCCTTTCAATAATAAAAACTATTGGCCAAATTAATAAAATATGGTGCAAAATAAAATCTTCTAGTTAGAGTTTAAAAATTCAAAATTTTCATTGCTATATATTTCGTCAACACAAATTTTTGTTACTTCATTGCTCATTAAAAAGGAAGATAGAATTTCTCTAAAGACTTTTTACTTGTTATAACTTATTCCTGTAAATATGTTATATTTATTATTGAATTCCTCAAGAGTTTTATAGTGTTTTTTTATTTTAACCTGTACTCAGTTATTTTGAGTATTTAGCAATAATATGGTTTATTGTTTCAAAATTAATTGTGCTGTATTTGTGGAAAATTGTGAGAAAAAAGTGTTCAGGTATTTGGTTTATTTAAGTCTTCACTTGTTAATATTAGATAAAATCAGGATAGAGACAATATTTTTTTCAGAAGGTGTAAAATCATGTAAATTAAGTTTTTTAAGGTACAGATATTGTACTAATTCTGTGCCTGGAACTATATGGTTGTGTATTTATTGATTATCGTTGTTCATCTCAACGAGATTGGTTTTCTCGCTTCAGCTGGTACGGCAAAAGTGAGAAAAGCAATCGAGTTGAGATGACCAATAATAATCTGTTTATCGCTATTTTGCCTATGACGACGTTGATGTTTACATTGACAATGGCATGTGCACCCTTAGTTTCTAGTGATAATTTTTCATATCACTCTACTGTGCTGAGAAAGGAAATTATCAGTCAGTAAGATCAAAGGGAATATTTTGTAAAATAGCGATAAACCTTGTTATAAATATCCTTAAGACGATATCAAATGTTTCACTTCAGTGAGTTTTTTTGTGCGAATATAAGGAAACTTCCCAACTTTTTAGACTCGGCTGATTCTGTGGAATCAGAAATGATTTTTCTACTTTGATGATATGAATAGAAATCTTGTTAGTAATTTCATGGAACAAAAAATGCTACTGAAGTAAAATTGATGATATTTCCTCTATCTGGTAATTTATTTTCCTCGTATTTTATTATTTATGGTTTCCAGTGCTATATGTTGGTGTTTATTTACCTGACCTCACGATTGAACATGTAAATCTAGTCTATAATCATATGTACTAAAACTTTATATTCCTCTATTATTGGAAAGGAAATACTTTTACATTTATTAAGTATACTTCATTTTTAGAATTGTGCAGTCGAGAAAAACGTATTATTTAATTATTACTTTAAAAAAACTCAAAATTACCTTTTCCAGTTTAAAAATCCTGTTAGAATTTTTTTTTCAAAAGCCCTTTAAACATACATTTTACCAACATTTTTGATTGGATTTTCACTTAAAACTTTCATTTTTAAAAGGATGAATACTCAATAGAATTTTGTAGGATAATTACATGGCAATTCAGATTCAATATTTCACCCGTTGGCAGGATAAAAATTAATATTTTATTTTCTAATTTTTTTTCATTTATGAAATGTACTTTTTCAATGTGGCGGCTTAATATTTTTAAATGCAGGAAGTGCATATAAAAAAAAACTAAAAAAAATTGACACTACTTTTGATGCTGAAATGATTAAAACATATCATATTTTACCCTGCCTTGTCAGCATTGGTTTTAGCTGTTTGTGACTTTTTATATTGGAATGATGTAATGACATATTCATTTTAAGTAATACTTTTTTATGGGAGAAAAATGGATGTTTGGTCACATTTTCTTGTAATTTTATCATTTAGAGCTCTTTTTTTTACCATCAATAAAATTCCAAATACTATGAAAAGTTGACATGAAACTAATTGTACAGTGAAGACCACACAGTTTCCCTGTTATCCTGATAAAATCTATTCAGATTTGTATAGTACTTATTTAAAAAGAACTGATATCTTGAAATATCTCATTTGCTCATACTGAACTTACAGATAAAACTTGGTATTTTTGAGCTGTCAAGAGATTAAATCAGTTTTGTGTACAAATTCATTTTAATTTAAAAAGGAAACTTTTTTTGTAATAAATCAGTACTACAACAATGTGACTAAATATTGGTAGGTTGGGTTGCAAGAAAATACAGGTACAGTGTGTTCGCTATAAATGAGCTTATTCATTGCCTTTTTGTACAAAAATGAAATTTGACTTTTATATTTTATTCATTGAATTTTTATAAGACATAACATACTGGCCAAAGTGTTTTAGAAGTATATTTTGAATACCTTGAACAGCAATCAAACTTAATGTTGTCTTTTTAATATTCATTTGGTGTAATTACTTTTAATATTTATGTCAAAATTGTGGATTTATATGCAAAGCTTAATACAGAGAAAAATCATATTGCTGAATCTTTTGAATTTTACATCTTTCATTTCAAACATTATATGAGCTTAGTAGAAAAATATACAAAATATAACATCTTACATATCCTTTTTCAGATGCTTTTGTTTAATGGTATTATTAATACATGCATGTATTTTTAGCCTTAGTTTTAAAAAGGATGTAAAAAATTATAATTAATTCAATCTTTGATAATATATATCTATATACGTATTCATTTAATTTTTCAAATATAATAGCTGTTAATGATGCCACATTGTTAAATATGAAACTTGAAAGAAAAAAAAATTTTTTATTAATAAAACAACAAAAGATTAACACAGATTTTATGCAGGGATTGTTTTTGTTAGTGTTCTAGTAGCTCCATATTCCATTTCTGTGATCACAGAAATTTCAATAAAAGGTTAGAGTATATATTTTGTTTACGGTGCTATTGTTTTTATATAAAGATGCCTAATTTATATTTTTTATTCCTTTGTTACTGATGTATTTATTTGTATTAACCAGACACCTCTCAAAAACAATGATTACTGTGATCATTCTGGTTACTGTATACTGGTGAACTGTTAGCTGTGATGGTTGTCATGGTGAAGGAAGTGTTGCCATGGTGACCATATGACAGTGTTGTCATGGTGATTATAGTTGTTTCATGGTTTACATATGGTGTGTAATATTTATTCACTGTATGTTAAAAATGATGGCTTAGTGTAAGTTATAGACGTGCAAGAAATGGACAGGACCTTTCACAGAGGTTGACACCAAATCTTTTATATAGCATGAAGAAAAACTTTTTCTAAACTTTTGTACTGTACTCGAGATAATTCCATTTCATAATCGTTTTGTTATTTTTATATTATTTGTATCTAAGATGCACAATATTTATGACTAATTAAATTGCTATTGGTGAATTTAAACTTGCTCATGAAAGAAATTTCAGACAATGTTTATGCAATTGTTAGGGGGAAAAAAATCAGTTTCATCTTTGACTTCTTTTTATTTCCTCCTTTTTTCTATGAGTAATCATGATAATAAAAAAGATTTTGGGAAGTCAGCTTTAAAACTTTGTTTATTAAACAAGTTTAAATATAATGAAGAAAGCTGTCCCTTATTTTTCATACACTAGTCAACACAGAATGTGGACTATAGAAGCTTCAAATTAAAATCTATGCACAAAGTATATGAACATCAAACCTTATTTTATACAAGTTTATTCTGTAATAATATTGTAGCATTTCAAAATAAAATTATTTGTTAGTGTAAATTTCAAGAGAATTTTCATTTAGGAGAAATTTGTGCGAAGATTGCCTTTGTTTTTTCTTGTATTCTCAAGTTGTTATAAAAAAAAAGGCTAACTATACCAATGACAAAAAAATTGACTGTGCTTCCTTGTAAATACTTTCAAGGATTTTGTATGACTGAACAAACAAAAAAAAAGCTATTTTTTCATATTGATTCTGATGTTATTCCTGTTTTTTTTATTGTTTATTGATGTAAATATCTGGTTGTTGTTTCTATTTATTGAAAGTTGTTAAGTAGATATTTCTCTGTAAACTCTGTGTTATTTAAAGCTTAAAATGTTAGTCAATGTTTTGTCTATGCATGAAGTAAACTCATTATACTACTACTACTGTCTTTAGATTGTCTTCGTTCCATAACTGTCAAAAGAAAAGGCAGGAAAAACACTTTTAATTAAGTTCTTTGGTGCCAGGCAAACTGATGAATATATTGAGAAGTAGTATAATGAGCTTTACACATTTTAAAGAAAATACATGGTTCAAATTATCAGATTTTTTTTATTTGGTGATTTATTAGGAAGGGAAATAGTTATGTACACTAAACTACTAAATTGGCCAGATACAAAAGAATTTGAAATAAATAATAGTTGAGCATACAATTGCCTGAACAAGCCAAATGTGGGCAAGTTTTGAAGAGTTAAAATGGCCACCTCCAACAATTGTCTGAATATATTAAAAGCCAATAGAAATGAAACATTGAAAGGAGAAAAAATATTTACCTGTTGCCATACTAGTTTCATAGCTATATTCAGTCCTTACTTCAGAGAGATTAAAATGGGTTTCCAAAGAATTATACATTTCTGAATTTTAAATAAAAGAATAGAAAATACTATTAAAATTTATATAGTAGATATTTATATATCAGATTAATTTATTTAATTGAAAATTTCTCAGATGGAGATATGTATGTCTATATGTTTAGTAGTGTAGAATATATTATAATTTTGTTATGTTTTGTTAGTTACAGAGTTAATAGTAAATCTTGCCTTGGTTTTTTTACTGTTATTTTTATACCTTTTCATTTGATAAATGTGATATTCCTTTTTAATTATTTGATATTTGTTACTACTTCAATTATAAGCAGATACTGTAACATTTCAGAAGCAGATTTTCAGTTTTAGTCATTTATTTTTAATATCTTTATTTTTGTATTTTATTTATATACTATAGAAGTTAACTTTTTTTGTATACAGTGTTTATTTTGTCTGCAGCTGCATGTTTAACTACACATAGCTAAAATTACCATCAAAATTGTCACATATTCAACAATTGTCTTTGACAATACATGGGTACATATAACTAGAGTTTACCTGATAGAATAGCCTAGCTTACCAATTTTTGATAGCAATAATGAGTATGATTTTAAGATATTACTTGCTCTCTATTGACCTTCTTATAATTGGAATGCTCAAGCATACAACCTGAAACTTAATAGTATGAATTGAGATCGACTTAGGTTATATTCTGGAAAACATAATATTCAGAGTAATTTCAAAGACAAGTTAATAGAAATGGCAAAGTTTTGACAAAGGTTGTATTGAAATGAAATGTAATAATGTGACAAATTTGGTGGTGATTTTAACTAAATTTAAGAATTCTTACATTTGAAAGAAATTCAAGTATTGTGAGGCATAATTTGTTTGAATATTTGGCATTTTTGGTTTTTGTCTTACAAAAAGGACAGTCTCTCTAGAGTAGTGAGAAATGAATTTCTTATAGTTGAATATAAGCAGAAACTTACTTTTAAGTGTAAGAATAACGAACAGATCACATTTAGATAAAAGTACACTTGTGTTGATCTTTCTCTAGTCACTGGTTATTCATTATTTTTTTGTTGTTTTAAAAACTTGTGTTAAAAGTAAACATTTTATGGAAGCTCTCATCTTACAAAAAGTATGACCTTTGGAAATAATTAATTTAAAAATTTAACTTTATTAGCAGTTTGAAATTTGTTTGATTATATAAAAAATTGATTTTCAACCCTTTATTTTAGATTTTCCATTTATTGTCAAATAGTTGTGGTATGTTTTTATCTAATTTGATATTGGTACATATAGTCATTTACCAAATTTAGCTTGCCAGTAGATAAAATACACAGATATGTTTCATTTTAAATCACATACAAACTTCCTAAGAAGTGGGTTTATTTTCAGTATAGATTTGGGCTGAAGAAAAGTTGATGCAAATTATTCTTATTCTGCTAATATGAATGTATGTTTGCAAAAGAAATTTAATTCAAAAAATTAATATTGGAAAAGAAGAGGATTGAAATTAATTCCAGATGTATCATTTTACAATACTTATAAGAGGTACATGTACAATCAGTTGTATTTGTCAGAATGATATTGAAATATGATTTACAAGCTTTATAAAAAATATATACTCAGGATATGAAGTAGAACAAAAGTTCTAAAGCTTGTTGGCTTTTTGAGGGAAATTAAATTTATTTAATTTAATGAAGTAGTAAGGTAAATTTCAATAGCATGTATAGGATTTGGTGTGATTTTTTTTTAAATAGTCCAGCCCAAAGTTGAAGAACATTTTGATCTCAATATATGTGTTTGTATATGAAAAGCAAAAGGAAAAATATCTGTGTAATTTTATATAAATTATCTCCACGGCTGTACATTGTTTTAAACAGAATCGGCTCAGTTGTCAAATGTAATCTCTCCTAAGTGCAATATTCAAATAAAAAAGCATATTTTTGATTGAAACATGTATTTTTACAAAATCATGTCACATTTGTTATTTATCACGTGTATAGAAAAAAAAATCAAATAGCTATTTTCACATGTTATTTTACTACAAGTAGATTTGTACGAGTTAATATTGTGATGGTAGTTACCCAGTATTATGGTATATATATATATATATCAGATAAATTTTTCACATTATTTTTGGAATTTTTTTGCTCTTGTGCTTGTTAGCCATTTCACATCATATTAGTACCTACCTTTCAGATGTTTTTCAAGAACACCTTTTATTTCTTTCAAATAATTTTTTTGTATTTATGGTTTGTACGTGTAATACTCCCAGCTTGTTACCTCCTTTATTAGAGTCCTAACTAAAATCTTCAGAAAGATTTAGGTATCTCTTTTCAAAAGGTAAAAGTAACATGCCAAGCACAGTTTCATTTTAACTTCGATTGTGTATAGAATTGATATAGAAACTGTCCTATGCAGTATACTGCTTATTGACAGCTACCAAGGGAAGTGACATATAAACAGGTAATACAGAATTTTATTAAAAGTTGAAATTTTGCTTAAGTTTATGCAGATAACAAAAATTGCTTACATTTATATGAACATATAAAAAAAATATGAAGATTGTTACAACAAAAATTCTTCAACTTCTGCAATATTCTAATACAATGTATCCATATAAAACCCCAGATGAAAAGAAAACTGAAACCTTAAAAAAAAATCATACAAGTTTGTTTTGATACATAATGTTGCAAATTAAAAATAAAAAAATAGAAGAACAAATTTGGATTTCAATTTTTCAAAAGAATAATTTTCCTTTATATTTTTATTAATGTCATTTGATGAAAAAATACACAGAAATAAATGGTGTTCATGAAGCATGTAGACGAGACCAAATTGTCATCCATGTTGTGTTTTGTATATGGGAAGTTTTTAAAGTTAATTTGTTCATTGCTGCGTTGATACAGTTTTTATGTTTTTTAATAAAGCAAAGTCCTTATTTATAAAAATGGTGTTGTGTTGTTAGTATTAGCTGTCTCAGTTTGTATATTTAAAATGAAGCCTTGTAATTTGCCGTTAATTTTTAACTTTTTTAGATCTTTCTAACACATAACATTTTGTGTAATATTTCTTCTGAATAAAAACTTTTTAGAAGTAAAACCTTGTACTAATTTTCAACTAACATGCTTATCATTCTGCTTGTCTTTTTATCTTTCTTCCTTTTATGACCAGTCTTTTCCACTTAACTCTTGTGTTTCTGTATATTTGTTTCTGCTTGATCTTTGAGCCTCAGTGACCCAGTGGTCTAAGCTGTTCATCTTACAAGAGATTACAAGCCTGTCAACTCTGAGGATTTGAGTTAGAACACTGCTTGTGGCAGGTGCATTTGACTATGATGTTAATTGACAAGGATTGTCAGTTTTCATGCCAAAGGTCAAGGTTGTCCTCGAACACTCTTACTCTTTCACCAAAAAAATTCTGGCCACAATGATATAACTCAAGAGTGCTCAAAGTGACTTTCAACACTCAAAAATCAATCAATCTGCTTAATCATGGAACATTTTAATGAATATGACATAGAGATTTGCTTCATAATACATAGAGAATATCATATGGCTTTTTCAATATCGTACCCATATCAACTTGAGAGACCAATATAATCCCAAGAGCTAGGGATTAAATTGGTTGAGGGTTGATACAGGGTGTGATATTGAAAAATCCATATCATATACACTTTATTATATACTTCAAGTAGATGTTTACCCCTGTAAGTTGATGGGTTTGATCAAGCATTTAGAAGCGTGACTGATATCGATATCACTAAAGGTTGATACAGCACGATTGTCATTGGTTGTATTGCACATACAGTTTACCTGTCTGTATTTACAACTAAGTATATAATAAAGTTTGTAATATAATGTTTACCACAAATTAAAAGGACCTAAATATTTAATGAAAAAGGTACCTTCTATAGAATTTTAGTTTTTGTCTAACCTGCAATACAAAACTTAAAACCTGCTATGTAGGCTTCTCTTGCTGCAATTAATAATTATCAACATTACAGAGATTCTTGGTAACGAGTAAATCAATACCTTTTATGACTAAGTACATGTTAGCTAATAAGTTGTAAAATGTCATAAGGTGCATCTAGATAATCCATATTTTGTGCATAGATGCTTCTCTCTGCATTTATCATATAACTAAGTGCAATTTGACTATCCTTATTTTCTCGTTTGATTACACCAAGTTCATGTTTGAACATTTTGGTCATGCAGCTTCTCGGTGTTTGTTGATTATAAATTGTTTTCATGATGCACAAGTTCATTGTCGTTGACTTTGAAATTGTAATACATGCAAGATGTTTTTGTAAGGCCGTCTATTATTTCCTAGTCATGAAAGTTTTATAAAAAAATTATGCTTTTTTTATCATAAGTATCCAATATAAAAATAAGGAGATGTGGTATGATTGCTAATGAGACAACTATCCACCAAAGTTCAAATAAAGTGGATGTAAGTAATTACAGGCAAGTATGTTTTCCATTCTTGATAGTAATGTCATAAACATGAAAAGCACATACACGTTTTGTCTTTTCCACAGTGGTAAACGAATTAAGAATTTCTAGATACTATTTAGTTACATTGACAACCTTTATTAAATGAACATTTTTCAATGTATAACAAGAGAAAAATTAAACAAATGCCACAGTGACTTCAAACTTAGATTGGGGGCCTCGGTGGCTGAGTGGTCTAAGTACTATAGTTCAGCTACAGCAATCACTGGTCTGTCAACACTGAGGTTGTGAGTTCAAACCCTGCATGTTGCATTCTACACTGCTCTCTTAATTGACTAGGATTGCCACTTTTAAAGGCTCCTTTGAGATTACTAAACACAAGAACTGCAACTAGACTGCTCACTTGGGCCAGTTTGATTAGACTTAAGATATGATTGATATTCTGAATCTATTCTTGTTGCCATTTTTCCAGCTGAAGTTCGATGGTTCACTCTGGTATCTGGCTTCCTCCAATAAAAACTGGCGGCCACTATATAGCCAATAGTGCTCAAAGTGGTGCTAAAGACTAACAATCACTCAACGAATTACACTTTAAATATTTTGTTAAGTAAAAATACCAAATTATTTCCTGCATGAGCTTCAAACTGAAGATGAAATTTTCAACCTTAGTTTTCTTAGTAAAGTCATGTTTTCGCACATCAAATGTATCTTTTTAATCCAGCAGCAACCTTTGCTACCTACTTGACAACAAAGCAAGAGGAAGAAGGGGAAAACAATCCTTTTTTCTCTAATCAGTAAATCCATGTCTTTTGAATATCATCTAAATAGTTCTTAATTTATTTAGGTATATTGGTACTTTTTTCCTTCAGCTTATTGACCATGGCTTCTTGTCTTTGCATGAGCAGATGTGACACCTCTGAACTGTCTTCATACTTGACCAAGGTATTCCAAATACTTCACTATTTTGGCTTTGATCTTTCTGTAATCTTAATCTTGATCATTGTTTGGTATTTTTTTAAAAGAATTATTTACATATGCAAAATATTAGACTTAATGTCAGGTAGGTATAAAAAAAGACAAGTAAAAATATTTATTGGAGGAATGAGTTGTCATTCAAAAACTACTTGTGGGGGAGGGGCACCTTATAATATAACTTCAAATTTTTAAGAGAATTAATCTACACATTCTGATTCAAGATTCTAATTCAATCTTTATATAGCTATCATGTGTTATAAATGCTTACTCCAGAGCCTTGATATATAGACACCCCATTTCTTTTTATCTTGGTTTTTGTAGCCAGGGTTTATCATGTCCCTGCCAACTAAAGCCACATTTAAGAGATTTCACTTAGAAACAGAGACCTTCTACCACCTATATTAGTTTTAGTCACCAAACAAGCCTACCTCAAGAAATCATCCCAAAACAACATACTACTACACATTTTTACATAATTTCAATTTATTTTTAGCAGCTGTGACCTTGACTTTTAACCTTTTGACCTAAAAATTGACAGGATTCTTCCCCTTCTCTACATCTTTTGTATATATATATACAAGTTTCATTTGAAACCAACAAAGGAAACTCAAGTTACCATCTGGAAACCAATTTATTTCAAAAAGTTTTTTTGTAATACTGTGACTTTGAATTTTGCCCACACAATCAAAAGGCTTCTTCCCCTTCCTTATAGATTTCACTCTTATATATATGTTTTTGTTCTAATAAGCCAGATAAACTCCAGTTACTATCCAGAAAGCATCTGTTTCAGGCACATCCAAAACAGTCTGATGGACCAAGTGACTACTACTGTAAATTCAGAAATTATTGTGTTGTTTTTATTATACGACTGCAAAAAAATTTTTGTGGTCGTATATTTGTATGACATTGGCGTCTTCGTCGTCGTCGTCGTCGTTGTCGTCGTCTGGCGTCGTCCTGCGTCGTCCGAAGACACATTGGTTTTCGCACTCTAACTTTAGTTTAAGTGAATGGATCTCTATGAAATTTTACCATAAGGTTCAATACCACAAAAGGAAGGTTGGGATTGATTTTGGGGGTTATGGTACCAACAGTAAAGGAATTAGGGGCCAAAAAGGGGCCAAAAATAAGCATTTTTGTAACTTCCAGACATAACTTGTGTGTTAGTGTATGGATCTCTCTGACATTGTACCACAAGGTTCCATATCACAAAAGGAATGCTGGGATTGATTTTGGGGGTAATTGCCTCAAAATTTTAGGAATTAGGGGCCAAAAAAGGGGCAAAAAACAAGCATTTTTCTAGTTTCATGACAATAACTTGTGTGTTAGTGTATGGATCTTTCTGAAATTATACTACAAGGTTCCATATCACAAAGGGAAAGCTGGATTTGAGTTTGGGGGTAATTGCCCAAAACTTTTAGGAATAAGGGGCCAAAAAAGGGCCAAAAATAAGCATTTTTCTAGTTTCCAGACAATAGCTTGTGTTCAAGTGTATGGATCTCTCTGAAATTGTACTGCAAGGTACCATACCACAAAGGGAAGGCTGGGATTGATGATGGGGGTAATTGCCTCAATATTTTAGGATTTAGGGGCCAAAAAGGCAAAAAACAAGCATTTTTCTAGTTTCAGGACAATAACTTGTGTGTAAGTGTATGGATCTTTCTTAAATTGTACTACAAGGTTCCATATCACAAAGGGAAAGCTGGGTTTGAGTTTGGGGGTAATTGACCTTAACGTTTAGGAATTTGGGGCCAAAAAGGGGCCAAAAAACACATTTTTCTAGTTTCCAGACAATAACTTGTGTTCAAGTGTATGGATCTCTCTGAAATTGTACTGCAAGGTACCATACCACAAAGGGAAGGCTGGGATTGAGTTTGGGGGTAATGAATCATAAGGGGGTTCAAAAAATTTGGGGGGGGATTTTTTTTTTTTTTCCTTTTTTTTCTTTTTTTCCTTTTTTTTTTCTTTTAAAATTTTCCGTTTTAAGTTGGTTATTTCTGATTTATATTTAAAAGCAAATAATAATGATATGGTAGGAGATACACACCAAACAGGATGTGTAAATTATTATATTATAAGTATTGTGCAATAGCAAGAAATTTTCAATTGCACAGTATTGCACAATAGCAAGAA